GGCGTCGCGCAGCAGCTCGCCGTCGAGCCTCAGTTCCGCCGCCGCGCGCGCGCGCACCTGCAGGAGAGAGGGAGAGAGGCAGATTGTAGCTACCCTTCCCAACCGCATGGCCAGTCTTTCTTACTTCATCACCACCATAGGGGTGCGCGCGGCTGGTGGTCCGGCCGACGCCGCGCGGCGAGAGGGAGGTGGACCCGGCCCACCGCTTCTACAAGCTTCTAGGAGCCCTCTAGGAACCTTCTAGGAACCTTCTCCTACAGGTGGACCCGGCCCACCGCTTCTACAAGCTCGTCGAGCTCGCCGAAGGGCGAATGGACCCGGTTTGCCGCCTGGGGGGGGGGAGGGGGGGGGGGGTCCACGTCCGCGACACGTCCACGACACGCCGCTGCCGCGTCCGCAGGTCAGTGGCCGGCGCGTGCCGATCGAGGGGGGAGGGCGCGAGCTGCGCTCCCTCCGCGTGCAGGGAGGGGAGGCGGCGGCGCTCGCCGGCGGCTTGGGCGGCGGCGGCGCGGCGGCGCGCGCGGAACAGTTGCTGCTCTGTCGCAAGGCTGCGGAGGAGGGTTTCTTCACGATGGAGCTGGCGCCGCCCGACGAGGCGGAGGACGCGCTGCTGCAGCTCTGCTGCTCGTGCTTCCTGTCGACGGAGGGGACGGAGACGGGCGACGCGTGGAACGAGCAGCGGACGGAGGTGAGGCACTTCCGAGACACTTCCGAGACACTTCCGAGACACTTCCGAGACACTTCCGAGGCACTTCCGAGACACTTCCGAGACACTTCCGAGGCACTTCCGAGACACTTCCGAGACACTTCCGAGACACTTCCGAGACACTTCCGAGACACTTCCGAGACACTTCCGAGGCACCTCCGAGACACTTCCGAGGCACTCCTCTTCCCCCGTGTGCCAGGTGCTGCGGCGCGCGCTGCGCGGGCTCGTCTACCCGAAGCTGCTCGCCGAGCTGCTCGAAGCGGCGATGCGGGAGGCGCAGGCGGAGCTGGGGCCTCGCTCGAACGGCTCCACCAGCGGCAAGGAGTGGTGGGCTTACGAGGAGAGGGTTGACTTGCAGGCAGAGCTCGCCTCGTACTGCGCGGCGCAGCTGCGGCGGCTCCTCCTTGCACCTCCGCTGAGGCCGCCCGCCGACGCCGACGAGGCGGGGCCTTCTAGGAGCCTTCTAGGAACTTTCTGAGACCCTTCTCCTACAGGCCGCCCGCCGACGCCGACGAGGCGGGGCGCAAGAAGAAGAAGAAGAAGAAGAAGAAGAAGGGGCGCGGCGGCGAGGAGGAGGCGGAGGCGTGGTGGCCCGCAAAGTGCGGCCACGGTCCGTGGGCGGAGAGCTGGACGAGGGAGGAGGAGGCCGACCCGGCGCTGCATCGCGCGAGGGTTGCGAGCGATGCAGCGCTGCACCCGCTCCCAGGCTGCAGAGGTGTGAAGAGACGCTGTGGACAGGTGGCGGCGATGCAGTACTACCCTCGCTCCGCGCGCGTCGCCGGCGCCACCCTTGACGTCGAGATCGGAGGCGTGGCGTCTGAGAGTCTTGACGCGTGGCCGCCCTCGCCGCCAGGCGCCACTCTTGACGTCGAGACAAACGCCGTGACGCTGGTTGCCATCGACGAGCACGGGGAGGTGCGCCAGACACCTGCGTGCCCCCCCCCCC